GGGGGGGGGTCTTCCTAGAGGAGGAAGGTCTTCAGCTGGGCCTTGGAAGGTGGGGGTGGGGGGTGCTGGGGAGGAGTTGAGAAGAGCATTCTACGCAGAAGGAAAAGCCTCTGGGTTGGGTCCTTCTGGCAGCTGGGTGGTGGCTGAATCAGAAGAAACCCTGGCCCTGGACACCCAAAGGGGGCAGATTCGATTCCTGGTCAGGATACATACCCAGGTTGCATTTGATCCCCAGTGAGTGTCTCTGTCTCTCTCTCTCTCTCTCTCTCTCTCTCTCTCTCTCTCTCTCCCCCCCTTCCTCTCAATAAACAAAGTAATAAAAAAGAAGAAACCCTAGAGGGCAGGGAGGGCAGGGCCCCACTCCAGGCTGGACAGAGGCTGGGCCTGGGGTTGGACTTCAGGAGCCTGTGAGGGGCCGGTGGGACGTGTTCATGGAGCCTGCCAGTGCCTTTGCAGAGGGGAGTGCCTGTGCCTGCCAGGCTTAGGGTTAATCAGCCTTAATCAAGGCGGCGCCTCCTTCCTCCACCCTCTGCCTGAGGCCTAGAAAGGAAAACAGGGAGGCAGGGAGGCAGGACCCACCTCAGCTACACACATAGCCTCGTTCACCCATGTTGTTCAGGGTTCCAGTGAGTCTCATCTACCACCCACTTTAGGGATGAGGGGCACCCAACTGACACAGGGGCAAAGGGTGCTCAGCCAGGGAGGAGTAGATGCAACACCTAGCCCAGCCTCCATCCCTTTAGCTGAGTCGCACACTCCTTCAAGGCCCCAGGGCTCCCTCCTTCTGGAAGCCCTCCTGGCTTGATGCTTCCTCTGGGCTCCCTGGGCCCAGCCCTGAGCACAGAGTGACAGGCTCATCTGCTTTCTTTGCTCAACTGAGCGTTGGGCAGTGAGCAGGGCCCGCATTGCCGAGCCTGGGCTCCTGCACAGCCCTCCACGCGCTCCTGTTGAGTGGTTTGTTGAATGAACAAGTGAAGCCTCTGCTGTGGAGGTGCCCTCGCCTAGAGGGAGGCAGGCAAGAGTGGATGCAGGGTGGGCAGCGGGAGGGGCTCATTTCCACTGGTGGAGGTCTCACGGAAGGGCTTGGAGTGGGCGGGACTGGCCATGTCCCTGGAGGAGGCTGGAGCTGAGGCAGCAGGGCACAGATGGAGAGCAAGCATTAGTGCGCAGGGGTGGGCAGGGTGAAGGAAGGGTCCCGTGACAAGCACGCCTGCTGTCTGCCCACAGGCTGGTCATCGTCGTGCTCATCGGTGTGAGCGTGGCCTGGATCCCTGTCCTGCAGGGCTCCAACAGTGGGCAGCTCTTCATCTACATGCAGTCAGTGACCAGCTCCCTGGCGCCCCCGGTGACTGCCGTCTTCGTCCTGGGCATCTTCTGGCGGCGTGCCAACGAGCAGGTGGGGTAGGGAGGGGAGCTGGGGCGAAGATAGGACACGGGGGCCGAGTCCCTCAGTCCCCTCCTGGGGACAGGCTGCCGCCTGTGTGTGGCTGGGAGAACCGTGGCCTTCCTCCAGTGGCCCCAGCTGCCCTGCCTCCTCCCCAGGGGGCCTTCTGGGGCCTGATGGTGGGGCTGGCGGTGGGCGCCACAAGGCTGGTCCTGGAATTCCTCTACCCGGCCCTGCCCTGCGGGGCCGTGGACACTCGGCCTGCCATCCTGGGCAGCATCCACTACCTGCACTTCGCCGTTGCCCTCTTTGCACTCAGCGGAGCTGTGGTGGTGGCCGGAAGCCTGCTGACGCCCCCGCCCCCCGCGGCTCAGGTAAGCCTGCCCTGACCCCGAGCACTGACCCTTACCAATTTCTGACTCAGGTCCCATTCCGACCCCTAACTCTCTCTGACTCAAGAATATTCTAGCTCTTGACCTCTAACCCTGTCTGGCCCTGGCCTCTGGCTCTTTTTGAACTCAACTGCCCTCTTTCATCACTGACCCCTGATCCTGTTTGGATCCACCCCCCAGCCCCTCTCTCCCATCCTGCCACCCCCCCATCCCTATGTATTCCCTGCAGATCCACAACCTTACCTGGTGGACTCTAGCAAAGGACCTGCCCCCAGGAACCAAAACAGGTATGCATGTGATCCTAGGCACTCCCTCTGTCATCCCTGGGGCTGGGCTTTGGAGGACCAGGGCACTGGGTGTGGCCCTGTGGTCCTCATCTGTCCCTCTCTTCCCATCCCTCCAGGTGACACCCAGAAACACGCTTTCTGGGCCCGTGTCTGTGGCATCAATGCCATCCTTCTCATGTGTGTCAACGTCTTTTTCTATGCCTACTTCGCCTAATGCTGCCCCTGGACAGGAAGGCTGGGGTCCTCAGAACCTTGGGGCCCACCCCCTTTCCCTCATGAGCACACCAGGACCCAAAGAAGGGTGACCCCCTCACGGCTATATGGTGGGTCAGTGCCCAGGGACTGGCCCAGCGAGCAAAGCAGGAGCCCTGAAAAATTAGCAAGGAAATGGGTGAAAAGAATGTGATGGTGGAAAGAATGGCTTCAAAAATGGTGGAAAGAAAAGTGGATTTCGGTGGACATCCTTACACTGTATTACTGTTTTTATTTTGAGTGCGTGGGTCCAGGTCAGGAGCAGCACAATCTGCCAGAGCTCAGGGTCCGAAGGGTCTCAGGCCACCCCTGGACGGAGGGAGAGCCCCCCACAGTTCAGGCTTGCAGCCCCCTCCCTGGGCTCCTCCACTCTCCCATGTGCTCCTGGCTCCACAGGCGCCTCCTGCTCACTGTCCTCCCTGTTCACTGCCCTCCACCACCAGCCTGGCATTCAAAGCTGTTTTCCAGTTCCCCTCACTCTTCCAGCTCCCAAAGTTGCCCAGACTCTGGGCAGGTGTTACTTAGGAACCCCTTGCTGGGTGCACATTCCATGTGGACACCCTATCTTTTCTCAAGCTGGGGCCCCGCCCAGACTCCCCACCCCATTCTGGATGCTCCTGTACTTGAGTCCAGCACAGGCCCCATCTTCCCACTTGGCCTGTAGTTAGGACCCCCAGGCTCCCGGAGTCTGGGCAGAACCTGGGCCTGAACCGAGCCTCTTAGGTGGCTGTGTCCAGAGCTTGCCCTTTGGAGTTTGTCCATTTCAAGAAGCAGCTGCATCCATTTCTTCCACCACCACAGCCCCTTTCCTCAGGGCCTCCAGCCCTTCCCCAAAGTACCTGTAGTGGGGTGAGGGTGTTGGATGTCCACGTGGAGCCTGAAGTTATTGTGGGGCTATGGAAAAGTTGTCTCCACCTGGAGTCTGTCCAGTGAATCCAGGTCAACAGGTATTCTGAGCCCTTGCCTGTCCCTTACACCGAAGCCACCTCCCCAATAACCAGAGCATCTCAAAGGCCCTTTTGAGGGAGGGGACAGGCAGGCCCAGTGGGTGGTCAACCCAAGGTGAACCCACCCAAGCCCATGGTTTCTTAGGTTGAGCCCCTAATGGGTGGAACCTTCTCTGAGGATGGGGTCACTGATGGTTGGAGTGGGCTGGGTCTCTGCCAGCCCACCCTCTGATGTCACAGAGCTGGTGACCGACGGAAGGAGGCAGCAGGAAACCGCGGGAGCTCCCCTTGCCTGGTAGGCACTGAACATCATGCTGGCTGTGGGCACCTGGGGCAGTCCCAGTTCATGTGGAGCAGTGGGGGCTGGGTTGGGCATCCAGAGGCCATGTGCCTGTCCAAGGCCCTTGGCTGAGCCCCATGGGACCCAGAGGGGTGTCCATGGTCTCTCTCTGGACTGCAATGTCCAGTGGACAGATGGTCTGCCAACTCTGGCCCCGGCCTTGCTCTGGTCAGAGGTGCACAGGCTGCACGTAGCTCCGCGGGAAGAAACCAATGTGCCCGCAGAACCGGCCTCGCCACCAGTGGGGGTCCAGGCGCTCGAGGACTTCGATGATGTCACCGCGGCGGAAGCTGAGCTGTGAGGGGTCCTGGGCCGAGAAGTCAAACTGGGCCTGGGCATAGCAGGCCCCATGTGACTGCAAACGAAGGAAGTCGTTAGTGGCCCCAGGGGGGCCCTGACAAGAGAAGCGACCTACTGCCAGCTGGGAAGGGCAACACTTTCGAGGCAGAATTGAGGTTGAACTCACTTGTGCCTCAAGGCCAAGGTGAATGGCCACCCCCATGGGCCTAAGCTGCCTACCCTGGGCGTCTGCCATACAGACACTGCATCTTCACAGAACAACACGACTATCCTGGGGCTGAGGTGCGTCCCCAGCCCTGGTTGTCCCTGAGGGGCTGTTCTTAAGTCCATGCCCCTCTTGGAGTCTCATCACTCTGGCTCTGCAACAGCCTTGATAACTTGTGACGCCAGGCCCTGTAGCCGCAAGAGCCACAGGGTCTTATAAACTGCAAAGTGATATGTAGCTAAGAACACAGTTGCCCTTGGCCAGGCTTTGAGAGAGAAGATGTCACCTTGAGCTGGTCCCAGCTCTCCTGGGTTCCAGTCCTATCTATGCCCCAAAGTGACCTTGGTTAAGGCCCTGCCCTCCGTGGGACTCAGTTTCCCCACCCTCAAATGGCATCTCGACGAGAGCGCTCTGCAGGCTCAGCCTGACGCATGACAGCTGTGCCCAGCACCCAGTGCCCAGTGTCCAGCACCCAGCACTGCCTGCCCCGCCAGGGTCTCTGCTCCGAGCCTTTGGAATCTCATCCAGGACCGGCGATAGGATCAGCAGACAGGCTGTAATTAGCAGTGCTCTGCCCAGGAAGGAGGAGGCGGCATGGGTCCCGAGAGACTGAGCCAGCTCTGGAATCTCCCCACAGGACAGGCGATCCCAGGGCTGGGCCAGAGTGAGGTGGCAGGTGAGGGGGAGCTCTCAGCTGGCCCCCAGTTCCACCCTGGATCCCTCACGCTCTTCAAGGTCCGAGCTGGCCCAGGCAGCGAGGGGGAGGAGATGGAGGTCTGGGACACACAGGCCCAGAGGAGAGCTCACAGACGATCTGACCCCAGGGTCAGGTTGAGGAGGCTGAGCCTCCTGGTGGGAATGAGGGGGCACTATGGGGGTCTCCCGAGGCACTGCTTGACTCCCCTGGAGTATCAGACCCCAGGGCTCATCCTATTGGACAGAGAGGAAACTGAGGCCCAGTTGAGGGATGAACTGGCCCTGAGGTCACACCTGGCGAGGCAGCTGGGGTCCAGGAGCAGGGCAGGATGGGGCTGCTCCACAGAAGTCCGTCAGCCCTCCTCAGGCCTCCACTATGGCCATGCTCCCTGTACCCCGTGCAGAGCCAAGTTCAGCTGGGCTGTTGCAGGGCCTGACCTCCAGCCCCAGGCCTTGCTGACACCCCCCCTTCCAGGGAAAATAGCACACTGGGGTTAGTAACCCCATTAGCTGGTGTTGTCATCCTAATGAGAGCTGTTCCTCGGGGCCCCTGATGAAAGGGCTGGCTGGCAAATTGCTGTTATTGTGAGGACAAGGGGTGGCCAACTCTCCCCCCACACACACCCTGTGTCTGACCAGAACCTCACCCATACTTCTCACACCCCACCTAAGGCCAGCATCTCCAGAGCAGAAACCAGGACTGAGCCTACCCAGTTGGTAGCCTTCAATGAGTCACATCACTCTTCAAGCCTCAGCGTCCTCACCTGTACAATGGGGGCAATAAAGCTTCCAGTGCAAAGCCCAGTTCAGTATGCAGCACTCAGTAGGCTCAGTAGGTGCCAGTACATTCAGTAATTCAACAAACATTTATTGAGCACCTACTGTGTGCCATGCACTACTGAGAACAAGTTGCCCCATGGAACTTCCAGTCTGCTCCTTCCTTTATTCCCTTCTTGTCCCCACTGTTGCTTGTTTCACTGCCGTGCCCAGAACAGAACTGCACACTCTGGCCTGTCCCTCCTCCCGTGACATGGGGCTGCTAGGCAGGGAAGGGAGGCCAGGCGCCAGCTGGCCCTAGCAGGTGTCGTGGCCCAGGCTTTGCCCACCTACCTTGAGCAGGGGCTCTTCGTCCCGCAGGAAGACCTGGCGCTTCTTGGCAATCGTGGTTGTGTGGTAGAAGTCGACCAGCTCATTGAGGGAGTTGAACTTCTCCTCCCACAGGAAGTACTTCCCCGAGGCCTCACGTAGAACCTTGAAATGCTGCACCTGGTCCCCATAGCTGGGGGAGAGGACCCATGGTCACCTGAGACAGGCCCACAGCAGCCAGGGACCACTCCCAGCCCACACAGCCCTGGGTCTTCCCTTCTCCCCACCGTCTGGAACCCAGCCTTTCTTTTTCTTGGTGAGACCTGGACTCAGGAGAAGGTTCAGGTGGGGAGGGTAGTCCCAGGCCCCACTATCTGGCTTGATGTGAGACCTGGTGAGTACCCCTAGCAGTGGAGTATGGACTGAAGGGTGTGGACCCTGGACCAGGCCACTTTCTTGCTGTGTGACTTTAGGCAAATCACTTCTCTGAACCTCAGTTTCCTCATAATAATACCTCCCTCTGGGTAAGTGCTCGGAAAATGCTGACTGTGGCTCATCATTAAATGGGTTTCTCTGAGAGGTGATCAGACAGCATTTTCTCTCTTTAATGTCCCTGTCAGCCTTCACATTCTCCCTCCTGTCCCCTCCCAGCCCTTGCAGTCACTTGAGGAGTGAATTCTAAGGCCACCCTGACTCAGACCAAAGCCACTCAGTGTGAGAGGAGCTTAGGCATGTTGGATGCTTTGTGTCCTTCCCACCCACACCCACCTCAAGAACCATCTATGGCTCCCCATTGCCCTTGAGATAAAATCTTAACACCTCAGACTCAAGATTTGACTCTGATTACATGTCCAGCCTCATTTCCTTAATATAATTTCTGAGGCCCTAGCCTTCGACCAGTCTTCCAGCCCACGACCACAAAATCCTCTCACATGCCTCTAGCCCAGCTAAGGACACAGCCTGCCTCTCCCAAACTGGCCAGGGGTGGAGCCTGCTCTGGCTTGGGCTGGCCGGAGGGACCTGCCCAGTGCCTTCCCACACAATGCGTACTTCACGCCAGGACAGGCCACACGGGATTGAGGCCAGAGGTGTTGCTGGTTTGGGTCAGGACAATGGGTAGCTCGACCCTTTGTGATTTCCTCCCTGCTTGGGGGTGGCCAGGAGGAACAAATAGGGCCCTTTTTACAATGGGGAAACTGAGGCCCTGAGTGCAGTCTTGACCTGCCCAGAGTCACACAGCAACAAAGTCTAGAGCTGGGCTACAGCTGAGCTCCTACATGCCAAGTGTCACTAAAGTGCTCCCTGACTGGCAGTCGTTGTATAACAGCACCAATGATACTGATTCCACTTGTGATGTCGATACCGTCCCAGACCTTTCATTCCAAGTCCAGCCCTACTCCTCTGTGTTGCTACCTGGGCTGTGATTCCCCAGGCCTCCCTCTCCTGGCCTCTCTGCCTGGCCAAATCAAAGGCACCCTTCCCAGCTCTACAGTCAGCTCACTTCTCTGGGCCTCGGGGTCCTCACCTGCCCAATGGCGGGGCGGGGGCGCTGATGCACTCCCCACAGGGAGGTGAAGGAGGCTGTGCAGGTGCCACCAACATGGCTGCCCAGAGCCCACCTGGCCAGCCTGGCAGCCACAGGGGAGCACCAAAGAGCCCCAGGTCCCCACCAGGAAGAAGCCAGGTTAGGAAGTTGCCACAGGAGGGTGCGCTGTGTAGGTGGCTGGTGGGACTGACAGCTGGGAAAGCCTGGGGGCCTCTGGGCATGGTCAGGTGTGTGCACTGGGACAGAGGGTGGCCACTGGGGGGGAGGTGGCCCCTGGGCCTCCTCAGCTATAGGCTGTGTTCTCATTTTGTTTGGGACTAAATGAGAAAGAAATACTGATCTGGAAATTCAATAGTAAAAAGGAAAAAAGTCTCAGGTTCTAAATTTAAATTTTGTTAAACAATTTTGGACACAGTGCATTTATAAGCCAGGGTTAGCCCACGGCCCAGTTCTGCTGGGCAGGTCATAATCCGAGCGTTTCCGGGGCCTGAGCAGGAGTGCGGTGTCTGTCACCCCAGCTGCCAAGGCCTGCTACTTTCTGCCCCATNAGGACAATGGGTAGCTCGACCCTTTGTGATTTCCTCCCTGCTTGGGGGTGGCCAGGAGGAACAAATAGGGCCCTTTTTACAATGGGGAAACTGAGGCCCTGAGTGCAGTCTTGACCTGCCCAGAGTCACACAGCAACAAAGTCTAGAGCTGGGCTACAGCTGAGCTCCTACATGCCAAGTGTCACTAAAGTGCTCCCTGACTGGCAGTCGTTGTATAACAGCACCAATGATACTGATTCCACTTGTGATGTCGATACCGTCCCAGACCTTTCATTCCAAGTCCAGCCCTACTCCTCTGTGTTGCTACCTGGGCTGTGATTCCCCAGGCCTCCCTCTCCTGGCCTCTCTGCCTGGCCAAATCAAAGGCACCCTTCCCAGCTCTACAGTCAGCTCACTTCTCTGGGCCTCGGGGTCCTCACCTGCCCAATGGCGGGGCGGGGGCGCTGATGCACTCCCCACAGGGAGGTGAAGGAGGCTGTGCAGGTGCCACCAACATGGCTGCCAGAGCCCACCTGGCCAGCCTGGCAGCCACAGGGGAGCACCAAAGAGCCCCAGGTCCCCACCAGGAAGAAGCCAGGTTAGGAAGTTGCCACAGGAGGGTGCGCTGTGTAGGTGGCTGGTGGGACTGACAGCTGGGAAAGCCTGGGGGCCTCTGGGCATGGTCAGGTGTGTGCACTGGGACAGAGGGTGGCCACTGGGGGGGAGATGGCCCCTGGGCCTCCTCAGCTATAGGCTGTGTTCTCATTTTGTTTGGGACTAAATGAGAAAGAAATACTGATCTGGAAATTCAATAGTAAAAAGGAAAAAAGTCTCAGGTTCTAAATTTAAATTTTGTTAAACAATTTTGGACACAGTGCATTTATAAGCCAGGGTTAGCCCACGGCCCAGTTCTGCTGGGCAGGTCATAATCCGAGCGTTTCCGGGGCCTGAGCAGGAGTGCGGTGTCTGTCACCCCAGCTGCCAAGGCCTGCTACTTTCTGCCCCATCCCTGCACCTATCATCCTGGGGCTGGTGTACTGCTCTGTTAAAAGTTTAAAATTAAAGATTTAAGATAAAGAATTGTTTAAGGTAAATACTGTGTGGTCTGGGGGGCAGAGGGCAAAGTAGGATTCCCCCATCCTGACCAAGTCAAGGGGTCCAAACCACACAGAACCTCTCTCTCCACCTTTAAACACACCTCCAGGCCTTTGCATATACTATTCCCTCTAAATTCTTCTTGAGTCAAACTTCTACTCAGATGTCAAGGCCCAGGTAAAATGGCCCAACCTCTGAGAGCTGCTTCAGACCCCCCAGCTGCAGTCAGAGACTTTGTGGGCTTCTCAGCCCTTGTACAACCTTGTAACCAACTGCTAATAATGGCCTACATACTAGATACTGAAAGGGCAGGGAGGCAGGAGCAGTCCCCGAGGGTCTAGCCAGTTGGGAGAGGCTGGACTCGGGTCATGGAGTGTCATAACTCAAGGCTTAAGTGCTCATTGGGTGCTCTGAGCTGCGGTTTCAGCCCTCCCAAGAGTCTGGACCCTGAAGCAGGCCCAGTACCCGCTCTAGGATGTGTCCAGCTCTCAGGGTGACTCAGCTTCACACCGAGTCAGTTCCCACCACAGGACTGAGGTTACAAATGCCCAAGGCTCTGTGACCAGGTAGAGCAATGACCCCTGAATCCAAGACAAGGCCACTTGTGTGCCATCAGCAAGCATTGTTCTCAGGTGACCAGCTGTTCGTGTTGGCTGTGGACACACCTGTTCATGTCCCTGGGATGGAAAAGGGGGAGGACACGTGGACAGTGCTCCTTCCCTGTCTGGCTTGAGGCTCCCAGAGGCCACAGACTTCCCTTGAAGCAGTCTCTGAGCCCAGTGAGTTTCTAGTGTCCTGTCCCTCCAAGTGACGGGTTTCTGGCTTTGGCTGTCGTGCGTCAGAGAAGTGTCAACCAGGCAGCAGTGAGGAGACCAACAGCCAGGCAGGCAAGAAGCCAGGAAATAGGTACCCCAGTGACTCCCTGCTGGGAAGGCAGGAGGCCCTGACTTGGTGCTGCCCCGAGGAGGAGCCTGGGGAGTGGGTGGCTCCTCTCCTCTGGGTAAGAGGGCAGACAAGGGTGTGGTAGGTTGAAAAAAGATCTCAACCTCAAATGACCACAACTTTGAACATTTTGGTGTTTGAAGGTTATCCTCAGGTACTTGGAAAGTTATTCAAAACAAAGCATTCTTGCCTCGGCCCATGTGGCTCAGAAAGGCTCCTGGTTAGATGCCCGGTCAGGGCACATGCCAGGGTTGCGGGCTCAATCCCGTGTAGAGGGTGTGCAGGAAGCAGCCAATTAATGTCTCGCTCCCACATCGATGTTTCTCCCTCTCCCTTCCTCTCTTGCTAAAAACAAAATCAACAAAACTGTTTTAAAAAAACAACAGAAAAGCATTCTCTGAGCATATAGGAGGGCCAGGGAGTAGAGAACAGGCGATGAGACGTGGGAAAGGGGCAAGAGACCCAGGAATTCTATAGCCTTCCAACCTGAGAATTCAAGAACTCTCAAGTCTGGGGAGCTTGCATGTTCCGGCCCCAGGTCTATGCATAGTATTCAGTAAAGGGAAGGTCTTGTCCCTTCTCCCACCTGGTACAAACTTCCTGTTCTGCAGTGAGGAGAGCAGGGCGGAGAGGAGAGGGGCCTGCCTGGAGCCAGGGGCAGCTGTGCTGGAAATGCCACGGCTGTGTGACTCCAGTGGGCCTCTGTTGCTGTGCCAGTCTCTGGTCTGATCAGTGACCACACCTGTCTGAGGCCAGGCAGGGCCACATACATCTGATGACCCCAAGGACTCCGTACCTGGGGCAGTCTCTCTCCCCAGCCACACTGTCTCCCAGACTATCCAGGCCCTCACCTGGGACTCTCGCCAGGAACTTTTTTCCCTTTTTTCTGCCTGGTCTTGGCCTTAGCATTCCTTCAAGGAGTCTGAGAGCCCCTTAACCAGGGGTTGCCCTCTGTGGACTCTCCAGACCTCCCTCCCTCAGGCCCAGGGAAGCTGCAAGTAGGGGGAACTGAGTCTGAGTACAGATGACCCCTGAATGGGAGGGATGGCTTCAGTGCAGAAGCCCTGCTGGGTGAGCCACCCT